TTCCCTGGATCCAGTGGTTTGTGCTTCTGGTCATGCTTATTATTGACACGGTACTTGTCTTCCCCGGCCACTTTGGACAGCCGCTCCTTCTTCACTATGGCCTTCTTGGATCCGGAGGACATGATATTGGCCGACGCAGCTCCTGTGATGTCGTCACCTGTGGTTCCCAAAGAGGAAAGAGGCCAATGGTCGGGGCTGGGAGCGGGCAAGCAGGCAGCCCCACTGCCCTGGGCTTCATCAGTGAGGATGAGCTGTAGAAAGGCCGGCCCCCTGCCTGGCTTCAAACTCAAACACAGGCCGACCCCCGCCTGGGTGCCCTTGGAGAAGTCACAGATGCCCCTGGACTCTGGCTCCTCATTTCTAAAGCCAAGGATGTGGATTCTTCTAAAGGCCCCTGTGGGAGCAGATGTCCCTGAAAGATGCAGGAGGGGCAGAGGGTACAGGGCACAGACCCCAGGTGCAGCCCAGCCAGAGCGGGGTGGGGCCCTCAGCGGCCAGGGTGACATGTTTCCAATAGTAGGAAAGGAGGCTGCTGAGCAAGCCCAGGCCTGACCTGCCAACCCAGAGCCCCACCCACCGTGTGGCCTCAGGCCAGTCCCTTCTCCTCTCAGGGGCTTTCATCACTTACAGACGGAAGGGCCTGGGTCAGGTGGTGGCCACCCTCTCCCAGCTCTGAATTCTCAGATTGGCCCCTAACAGGACGCCTGCCTCCTGCCTCACCCCGGCTTCTGGGAAAGCTGACAGGAGAAGGTGAGTGATGGGCCCTGGAACCCTCAGGGAGGGGCCAGTGGACCTGCCGGATGGAGCTGGGCTCACAGAAAGCCAGTTGGTATGACGTCAACCTCTGAACAGCCAGCTCATCCAATGACCAGCTTCTACATTCACTGGCTGTGTGTGTGTGTGTGTGTGTGTGTGTGTACATTTTAGTTCACCAGTTCTTATTTTCTTTTTAAAGGGTACTTTTTTTCTGGCCAGTGTGGCTCAGTTGGTAGGAGCATCATCTTGTATACAGAAAGGCCGAGATGTTTCTCACATTGATGTTTCTCTCTCTCTCTCTCTCCCCCCCTTCTCTAAAAATCAATGCAAAAAATATCCACAGATAAGGATGAACAAACAAATAAAACAGTAAGTTATTCCTAAATAAGCCTCACTTTTTAAAGCCTGCATTTGGCTTTCAAATTCACATGTGTATGCACACACCTGCTGTACAGCTGTTTGTAATGGTGGCACCATCTGCCATGAAATGCAGGCACCGATTTTATTTGGCCAGTTTCCTGCTGTTGGTGATTCCCAGGCTTTCGGCCTTTGCTTTAATGCCACGAAGCTCTGGGAGGGAAGGGAGGTTGGCCCAGCACCCGCCGGCCCCGCCCGGGCTCCCCCGTGCTGTCCTGCATCCCACCCTGCACGACCGGGAGGTGGGGTTCTCATTGCTCTACAGAGGGTGCAGCTGAGCTCAGGGGGCAAGTCACATGGGCAAGTCACAGGTCGGCAAGCGGAGGCCCCAGGACCCCAAACGGGTTCTGCTAAGTGGGAGGCCCTCGCTCCTTCCATGCCTCTGAACTAGCTGTACGCTGTGTCCTACTCATCTGCCCCCAGAACATCGAGTACACATAAAGGGGTGCTTCCCTGGGACAGTGAGTTGGCTGGAAGTGAGCCCCAGTATCACCTGGAATAAAGGCCAACAGTCCGTCCTCCACGAACTCGCTGCTGAGGAAGAGGAGCGGCTGCAGACCTACCAGGGAACATCATGCAGCCAATGGCCAGGGAGAGCCCACCATCCAGGCACTGGGTGAGAACAGCACACGAGTGTGCAGCCGCTAACACTCCCACCTCTGCCCTGAGCTTAAGTGGAGAAGCAGCCTCACCTGGAGGACCCAGGTGCACCACGTAGCCATCCCCCACGTAGAGGGCCCAGTGCTGGTAGCCAGGGCGGAAAATCTCAATCAGATCTCCAGGTTTCGGTTCGGTCTGTGACTGAAAAACCAGAAACAGGCTGAGGTTAGTCCTCACAGGGAACATTCTAGAACCTGACCTGTAAGGAGCCCCAGCCCAGCCTGCAAGCTCCCTCTGAGCATCTCCTGCAGGAAACGGAAGAGGGCGCTCTCCTCCCACAGATGGGAAGTCCCTCTTTTACTGGGGCTGCAGAGCTGGAAGTGAGCTCTTCAGGGGACAAAGAAGAGATGGACAGGGTGTCTGGAGCCACTTCCATCAATTAAAGATGTCCCACCGAACCCAGGAATACACGTCTTATGAGAACCACCCCTGAAAAAATAAACTTTAAACATTAACAACAAGACAAGAATCGCACAGAGTGAAGAACCACACATGCAACACACTGGATGCTGGCCACTGGGAAGATGGAGTAAGGGAACCAACACAACAACAACCCTATGAGAGAAGGGCCTGCAGGCGGGCAGGCTGCCAGGAGCTAAGGGTCTGGCTCTCCTTCCAGCACTGAAATCTCACTAGAGGAACAATGACTTCATGACAGACACAGCCAGGTCCGCTGAATCAAAATCAAGGACTCAAGAAATCCTGTTGTACAATCAGAAGCGCCCGTTCTGTAATCCGGGCGCCAACTCTGTGCCTCTGCTTGTTCCTGCGTGAAGCTGAGGATGGTTTCCACCCTTGTCCAGTGGCTGGAGGAAAAGTCAAAAGGTTACTGTTTGGTGACACATGAAATTCACACGGCAGAGGCCAGACCGTTTCCCGGCCGCGGCCACACCCCGGCACCTGCACTGTCCACGGATGCTTTCTCACGGCAGAGCTGAGTCCCTGCAGTGGAGACCACAGGGCCTGCAGGACCTAAATCTTCACTCTCGGGCCCTTTACAGCAGGTTTGCGGACTCCTGTCATAAAGGGATCAGCAGTGCGGCCTCCCTCCCTCAGCTTGGGGACCAGCAGGAAGCGCTGGGAAGAGCTGCCTCTCTCCAGGGCAGGGCTGGGGGTCCGCAGGCAGCACAGTGACCAAGGCCTCTCACCCAGCCCAGGCGGGACAATGGCGAAGCTGAGCCTGCACCCACGGGATTATAGGACAAAAGGCCTTTATTCTCCCCACAAAATCAGAGCCACAAAGGGCTGTGGAGCAGCCATTTTCTATAACAAGGAAATTAATACACAATTTCTGGCCTCCAACATTCACATTGGAAAAACGACCTAAACAACCATTGATAAAAACCAATTGAATAAGTTATTCCACATCCATATGTTCTGCCCACTAGAGAGAAGAAGGTGGATTTTCATGAGCAGACATGGAAATAATTGAAAAAAGTATCTGAGAATCATTATTATCTCCATTTTTGCTTAAAATACATGTTTATACATTTATAAAGCAAAATGTATTATACACTATGTATGATCTGAGGAAAAGACACCAAACTGTTGTATATTATATATTGTGGGGATTGGGACTTTAATATTTTATGCTATATGATTTAATTGGTTTTCTACCAACATGAGTTCCTTCCCTAAAAAAAATGTTTTAAGAAGTTTGCATGGGCAAAAACCCCTCATGATGATGAACTTGCATTTTTTTAACTGAAAAAGGAGGACATTATCTGTCACCTTGAAACCATCTCCCATCTGTAACCTGAAACTATGACCATGTTAATGCTGCTTAAAAATGAGTAATATTGCCCAGCATCGACCTATAAACTAGGAGGTCACGGTTCGATTCCCTGTCAGGGCACATGACCGGGTTGTGGGCTGGATCCCCAGTAGAGGGCGTGCAGGAGGCAGCCAATTAATGATTCTCTCTCATCATTGATGTTTTTATCTCTGTCTCCCTCTCCCTTCTCCTCTGAAATCAATAAAAATATATTTTAAAAAAATATTTAACACCGCCATGCTGGTGTGGCTCAGTGGTTGAGCATCGACACATGAACCAGAAGATCATGGTTTGATTCCCAGCCAGGGCACATGTCCAGGTGTCAGGCTCAAACCCCAGTAGGGAGTGTGCAGGAGGCAACTAATCAATAATTCTCTCTGATCATTGATATTTCCCTCTCTCTCTCTCTCTCTCTCTCTATCTGTCTTTCTTTTCCTCTCTCTGAAATCAATTTTAAAATATATATTTTAAAAGTAATCCTTACGCCCTAACCTGTTTGGCTCAGTGGATAGAGCATCGGCCTCTGACTGAAGGGTCCCAGGTTCGATTCCAGTCAAGGGCATGTACCTTGGTTGCAGGCATATCCCATTAGGGGGTGTGCAGGAGGCAGCTGATCAATGTTTTGCTCTCATCAATGTTTCTAACTCTCCATCCCTCTCCCTTCCCCTTTGTAAAGAAATCAATTATATATATATATATATATATATATATATATATATATGTATATAAAGTAATAGTAAAGTAATAGTTAAATGTAACATAAAACCACAAAGCAATTTTTTAACTAACACAGATGGATATATATCAGATCTTGGAAATAGGAAAGGCACTCTAAGGATAAAGGCCAAAGAAAAAAGCATGAAGTAAAAGATGAAAAGGTTTTACAATTTTTTAATGTTAAGTTCCTATTATTGAAAGTTTCTATTACTGCCTATTTTGTTCATATTTCCTTTTAAGGGAAGATGACCCCCCACAATCCCAGGTGGGCAGGCAGCTGTTTCACACCATGTGATGAGATCAAACTGGACTAGATCTAGCTGGACTGGAAGGAGTCAGGGCCCCAAGCAGGTCAGCATCCTATGATCCACCGTGAGAAGTGGAGCTGGACTAATCAAATCCCCTCGCTCTCAGAAATTTAAACCAAGAAATGAAAAAAAAAAAAAAAGCTTTTTGGCAGTAGGGGCTGAAACTGAAAAATCGTGATGTAAGGAGGCAAGAAAGGCGCCAGTGGACCATGGGTGGGAGGAGACACCACCAACTCGGACCAAATAGAAGCCCCTGGTAATAGCGGGAGAGAAGGTAGCGGCATCTGAAGAGAGCTGGCTGGGCCCTGGCCGGTGCGGCTGGTGGCTGGGCTTTGACCCATAACCAAAAGGTTGATGGTCAGATTCCCGGACAGGGGACATGCTCAGGTTGCGGCTCTATGCCCCGTAAGGGGCGTGCAGGAGGCAGCCAGTCGATGTTCCGCTCTCACATCGATATTTCTCTCTCTGTCTCTCTCTCAATAAAAATTATTTTTAGAAAAAGAAAGAAAAGAAAAAGGAAGCCAACCGAGTCACATCATGTGGATGGCAGAGCAGTATAGTGGAGGTGCGTAAACTCCCAGGGCTGAGATGCCTGGAACCACCTTGACCCTGATGCCTCCCAGCTCTAGGCCCTGGCAGACCAGCCTCATGACAGCTCCTGATGCTGGGTTTTCCCAGAATCCCCTTCCCTCTCCACAGAGGTCCTCAGACTACACCTGCTTTCCCTGGACTAGCCTAAGTGGGTGCTTGTTTCTTAGAGAGCCAGACTAGCCCGAGGATCACAGCCCGAGGCCCTCATTTATACCAGGGAGCTGCCCTCCCCTGTAGAGCAGGTTCTAGAAAGTTCTGGGGACTTACCGAAGCCATTGTTCGCCAGGGCAGGGTCTGCTTTCTGCTCCTAGTGCAACAGGTTTTATACCCGAGTGGACACTTTAGCTTTCACTTTCCTTTTTATTCAGAAGAACTGAACACTAAATGGTTAAAGGGACTGTCAGCATTTCTCTAAGGCTCACGACTTCCCACCTCAAGGCCTGGAATGTCTGGGCCTGGGAGCCGCCTGGAAGCGGTGAGCATCGGAGGGAAGCCTTACCCCTGCCCTGCCCTGGACACGGGCTCCCACTGCAGGACGGGGCATGGGAGGCCCAGCTGTCAGCCCCAGGCCCGCATGGACCCTCATCCTATACCCGCCCCACGAGGACAGGAGCCACGGGCAGCCTTCGGGGCGGGACCCACGGGAAGGCCTCAGCAGGCGGGAGCCTGGACCTCGGGGAGCCCAGGGCTCATGGGCCTCGGGGTGCATGTGGGCGGGAGAAGCAGAACTCCCCTGAGAGCGGCTTCCCAGCCTGGCCGGCCGCTGTCCCTGGAACAGGAGGCGGGAGGCCAGGCGCAGGCTCAGCCCAGCAGCTCCCGGGCACCAGGGCCCAGGCTTTTCCATCCTGTTGGTCCCGTGTCTGCTGTGATGGTGGCTGTGGTGGCAGCAGCCTCCAGGGCACATTCTCACCGGGCCCCGCCCAAGGGCATCAGAGCTGCTTTCATTCCCTGGTCTCCTCTGAGCAGGGAGACCCTCTCCCACAGCCCCCTGCGGCCGGGCCCCGCCTTCCCTGTGCAGGGCTGCGCCCATTTCCATGGGAACCCGTCCTGGGCAACGGGCAGGGGCTTCCCTGGGGGCTCAGCCCACTCGGGGCCTCAGCCAGGACTGCGGAGAGGCCGTTACTGCCCAATGAAGGGCAGGGCTGTGAGCGCCTCGGAGGTGCACGTGCGGTGCGTGTGTGTGTGTGTGTGTGTGTGTGTGTGTGCGGTTCGTGTGCGTGTACGGTGAGCGTGGGGGCTGGAGGGGCAGGGGAGGTGGCTATTGGCCAGGCAACCAGCACCTTAGCTGCGCTCACCCCTCCCTCCCCCTGTGCACGCGGCTTTGTGGGAGCCACAGGGAGGCTGCCCAGCTCTCAGGCCTCAGGGGGAGCGGGAGGGGGAACCGAACTGCAGGCGGGAGGTGGGCAGCCAGCAAGGGAGGGAGGGACCTGGCAGAGCCCTTCCCTCCATCAGGAAGCTCTGTGTGCAGGGGCGCAGGAAGGCACCACTTCTCCCAGCCTGACCCCCATGACCCCCATGACCCCCATCACCCCATGACCACCATGACCCCGCTCCCGCTTCCCTGGGCCACACAGGCTCCTGACTCTTGGGTCCCGCGGCCACTGGTCCTCCGGCCGGGAAGCAGAAGGGCCTCTGGGCAGCGTCTCCCTGTTTCCGAGTGAGTTTCACCCATAAAGGCGTCTAAGAGGCCGGAGCGCCCACCTGCCCGCCCGCAGGCCATGCTCTTCCACGGGTGTCACCTGGGCCACTGCCCGCCCTCCCTCCCCTCCTGCCCTCCTGCTCGGGGTGAGGGCCTCCCTGTGCCAGCCCAGAGGCCGTGAGTGGGGCCCGAGCGCCCACGGGAGGTGCCTGCCCCTCGCAGGCCCGGCTGCATCTGCTGGGCCATGGACTCCCACCTCTGAGGCCCATGTTTAGGCTCCGAGTGCTCAGGTGGGTCTGCAGCCGCGGTCTCGCCTCTCCCGCAGCTGCCTCCCTGGTGGCCTGGCCTGTGGGCCTCAGCTGCTGCTGGGGTTCATGCCTCCCCAGCCCCTCTGTTCTCGCTCCTCCTTCCTCCCAGGCTTGAGTCTGCCTGATGCCGCGCATTCCATTCTCAGGGTCAGACAGGGACAGCTCCCCGCCCCCATTAGCCCTGGTGTCCTGACTCACAGGGTCCTGGGAGGGGCTGGCCCAGCACGTGGTGTGCAGGGAAAGCAGCCAGCTGCGGGGGCGGGGGGTGAGGGGGGGGCTCTTACAGGAATTAGGGCTATTCCGGGAAGGCGCCTGCACCCTCCAGAGCTCAGTCCACCTGCTTCACTGCTCCTGGGAACCACTGCCTCCCCAGACCAGGCCCCAGCTCACTGCCCTGCTCCTGGGACAGTGCCCAGGCCTCACCTTAATCCAACATTTCCCTTGAGAGTGAGAAATGCCCTTGTTCTCCCCCAGAAGGACACCAACTCTGGGCCTGCCTGGCCTGAGCCCTGGCCCCTGGCCCTCCAGCCCTCCTGCTCCCACAGGTCCTTCCCTCCTGTTCCAAACCAGGCCCCTCTCAGGACCCAGGAGATGCAGGGAGGGAGGGCTGAGCACACAGGACCCCCCTGATGGAGCTCCAAGCCCAGAGGGGGTGAGACAGACACAGGGACCACAGCAGAGCATGTTCACATGGGGGGAGGTGGCGGTCCCAGGGGCTGGGGACCCTGAGCGTGGCAGCTGAGCCAGGCTGGGCCTTCAGGGCAGCTCCTCAGAGGAGGGGTCTGTTTTGGGGAGGAGAGGAGGAGTGGGTGTTGCAGGAAGCCACCCATTGTCTTCACTAGCAGAGAAGTGCAAACAAGGATCCCGGAAAGCTGGTGAACCTTGAACCTATGGCAAGGGCCAGAGTTAAGCACCGATTGTCTAGTCCAGACAATGGGGCTCAAGCTATTTCCTGATCAAATTGTCTCAGAGTAAATCCTTCTAATATTTACTGACCTTTAAGATAGTCTGTCTGTTACCGCAATTACCTGCCTAGGAACTAGATGTGTATCCAAAGTTGAATAAAAGGCTGGCGAGGCCTGCGCACCAGTGGAAGTCCTCCCCCTTGAGTGGGGCTTGCTCATCTGGCCCCTCATTATTTCCAAATTGTCTCTTGTCTCTTCTCTTTCATTTGTGTGCGGCTCCTCTTCCAGATCCTGAACCCTGAACCACGCGGGACGTGGGGGAACACATACACAGGGCGTGAGGCAGGGGCTGGGGGCAGAGAGAAGCTGGGTGCAGAGGAGCAGAGGCCAGAGGGAGCTGTGGGGAGGGAAAGGCAAGGCCTTCAGCCAGGCCGGGGGGCCGAGGGCAGGGTGGGCGAGGAGGGTGGGAAGGGTCAGGAGGGGCTGTTGCTTCGCAGGGGCATCCTGTGCCCTGAGGCCAGAGAGGGTCATGGACAGATGGGACCACTGGTCCTCCGGCCAGGAAGGCAGAAGGGCCTCTGGACAGCGTCTTCCTGTTGCCAAATGAGTTTCGCCCATAAAGGCGTCTAAAGGCCCGGAGCGCCCACCTGCCCGCCTGCGGGTCATGGTCTTCCACAGCTGTCACCTGGGCCACTGCCTGCCCTCCCCGTTCCTCATGTCCTCCTGCTCGGGGTGAGGGCATTTGGGAAGGACACCGGGGGTCCTGGGGACTGGATGTGGAGGTGAAGGGAGAGCAGGGAACCTTGTCAGGAAATTGTGGGGTCACACAATTTAGAACTGGGTGCCCTGAACCGAGTCATGGATGGGAGATGGACGAGGAAGTTAATTCAGGAGAAACGTCCAGGGTCAGCGTGACCTGCCGGGTACCAGCATGGAATGGGGCAAAGGGCAGCTGAGCCCTGGCATCAGATTGGGCCGCCTGGGGTGAGGGCTGCAGGAGGTTTCTCATTCGCTGAGGTCAGACACAGAGACAAAGAAAAGCTGAAAAATTCTCTAATCATGAAGCGGTGGTGCCCTGGGCAGGACACTGAGGAGCAGGTAGGAGGGAGGTAACAGCAGCAGGAAAAGAGGAGGCAGAGAAGACCCATCGCAGCCACTGCCAGAGGGTGACCCTCTACCCTCTGGGGTTCTTTCTAGAGTGAAATAATGGGTAGGATTTTGGGGAACCCCCAGTGAAGCCTGCATGGTAATTGTTATATTAATACTACAGCATTAATTCTCACAGTAATGCTGCAGCCTCAATTCTCATTGTGATGCTACAGTATTAATTCTCACAGTGATGCTGCAGTATTTGTTCTCACAGTAATGCTGCAGTATTGGTTCTCACAGTGATGCTGCAGTATTGGTTCTCACAGTGATGCTGCAGTATTGGTTCTCACAGTGATGCTGCAGTATTTGTTCTCACAGTGATGCTGCAGTATTGGTTCTCACAGTAATGCTGCAGTATTAATTCTCACAGTAATATTGCATATTGGTTCTCACAGTAATGCTAGAGGAGTGCCCAGCATGTGAGGGCTCTTAGCTCACTAAGTCCTGACAGCAAGCAATGGGGCACACAGAGTTCAGGAAACTTCTCCAATGTATCTGACATGAGATGAGGAGTGAACCCAGATGTATCACGTCCTTAAAGTGCCCCAACCTTTCACGGCTAGGGTTCAGGATCTGAAGAAGGTGCATGAACAAATGAAAACACTAGACAAGAAATATGAATTTAGAAGGCATAGGGGACCAGGTGAAAACTTTCTAGAGGAGAAGCTCACTGAAACCCTGGCCTTGTTAGCTTTTAATACACATTTGCCCTTCAGAAATGCATACAGGCATATCAAAGGTAAAGTTTGGGAAACAGTACAAGGATTACCATGTTAGGGCATTGCCTTCAGCCATTGAGCTCACAGCAGGGCAATATTATGCTGATTTTCAGCCCTGCTAAATATCAAAGTCCATTGGTCTTCCAATGGGTCTTTTTGCATTAATGCTAACTACTGCTGGTTTTAGCCTCTGGAATTGAAGAGCACCTTTCAGTCTGGAAGCACATTCCAAGGGATCCTCAGCCCAGGACAGTAGCTGTGGGCCCCAGTGCTCTGAAAGTCACGGACAGCCAGTCAAGTCTCACACTGCGGCTGCCCAGCCGGGAGGCCTTCTTCAAGGCCCTTCACCAAAATGTATCTGGCCTTGTCCTGAGTGTAGAGGTGCTGGGCGGGCTGGTCCTCATGCCCTGCTCTTACCATTCCCCATAGATCCCAAACCAGAGGCGCTGGCAGAGCGGCACAGAAAGTTGTATCAAAGCCATCTGTGCACAGAGAGGAGGGGCAGCTGGTCCAGCCTGAGGCAGTGAGGTGCCCGGAGGAGAGACTGTCTGCTGGG